AAAAATTTAATTAAATTTTATTTGAGTATCATAGAGGGTGAGTTTTACTTGATTAACCTTTTTCCTGTTTCTTTTAAGGACTTTGCTGAATACTATAGTTTGTATTTTTAATGGATTGAGTAATACGTGCCGGGTGTTACACCGTTTAGTTATACGTTGCAGAAAGAGTTGTACTTTTTTGACTGTTATAAGTGGGTCACGTGACTTACTCCAAACGGCCACGTTATCAGTATACTGCAAAGCGAAGTTTTCAGTAAATTCAGAGAAGTTTATATTATTAACAAATATAATATACAGGAGGGGGCTTAGCACAGAGCCTCGTGGAACTCTTGCCTATAAGTTAAAAGCTGTGGACATATTATTGTTTAGTCTGATTTTAGCTGTTCTACTTGTTAGGAAGCTCGAAATCCATCTTATGAGAGGAATTGGAATATTATATTATATCTTAGGCCATTGTGACAAACACTGTCAAATGATTTTTTTGAACATCAAGAAATGAGACTATTGTTGCATGATTTTTATTAAAGCCACACTAGACATCTTCGGTTAATGTGACCAAATGGTCAGTGGTTTGACGCTTTTTCCTACACGCGTTTTGTATGTCAGTTAATAAAGGCTGACTCCAGATGACCTGCTTGTAACTATTTGTTTCAATAACTTTAAAAGACTTATCGTAATTTTCTGGGTTAATAAGATTACCGCCTTTTGGGGGGATAATACTAATAATAACTGATTTCTAAGAAGTTGGAAGGTATCCTGCGTTTAAAGACAGATTAAACAGGGCACTAAGGTGCCTAAGAAGTGATTCGGACGAGTTTTTTGAAATTACATTTCTTATGCCATCTTCACCTTGGGGTGGGTTTTTAAGTTTTTTATCAGTGGCTTTAATTTCTGCTAGAGATATAGGTCTGTTAATACTTACATTAGTTGGTATGTCTTTAGGTTTTAGATTAACGGGAAAATTTGTTCTCAAAGTGTGATAGTTATCGGTAATATGAGCGTTGACTTTGCGGTAATGTTCTTGATTGAAGCTTGTTCAATTGGGCGTTGTAAAGATAATTTTGTAGTATTCGCTAAATAAAATGGCTTTTTCTTAGTCAGTTGAAGCGCAGTCGTTATTATGTTTAATGGTGTGATGGATCCTGGCGAGTCGTTGTAAATGGTCTCAAATTTAAGCCAGAAAAGAGAAGGGTTTTGTGTTCCGCTTTGGTGTAATCGTACATTGTGGTGTTAAGTTGTTGTGGCGTGAATTAATATTTAATTCAAAGGATAAGGAGCCATGGTCACTACCTCTATTTTCTTGAACACGTAAGTTATGAGTATGTGGAATGAGTGCGCGCATGATTACCGCAAGATCTAATACGTCTTGTGAGCCCTAATGAAATGTTTGTATTGGAGTAGCATCATTTATTATCATTAAATTGTTTTCGACTAGGGCATGCAGGATTTTTTCATTGGTGTTGGTTGTACGGCAATGAAAATCTGTGTTTTGAATTAATGTCACCTAGGGTTATTGTGTACTTATTGTTTGGAATAAAGAGTCGGGTTCTTTATTAGGTGAGTTTGTTTGGTTGTTTTGAATATCACGCAAAGCTACACTAGGGGTATCTGCGATAGTCGTCCCTAATTTAGCAGTGAAACACTAGAGGGAAGGCAACTAGTCATCTCCACCCACCGCCAACTCTTGGGCTACTCTTAGTGGGATTGACCGTCACATTATAACGCCCCCACGGCTGAAAGAGTGAGCATGTTTGGTGGGACGGGGATTTAAATCCGCGACCCTTAGATTGCGAGTCAAGCGCCCTAACCACCTGAGGTGAGACATATGCTGCTAATAGAGCTATTTTTGCGTGATTAGGAGGGTATAAAAAACAAAATATATATTCGTTTCTGCTATTAATGTTGATATTAGGGAAGGATATTTTAAAATCTCTTTTATGTAGTAACATGATTCCACGTGTGCCTGTTGCTTTGGGGATTGAAATTATTTTATAATTATGAAAATTAAAGTTACTTTGCTGATTGTGTAGTGGTTCATTAAGATATCAGAATTTTGTTTAGCGTTGAGGTTGAACAGTTCATATTTTTTGCTATTTAAACCACCTTGAATGTTTACTTGTAACAATCTGAGCATTTTATCTTTTCCTGAGGTCGGATCTTGTCTGTCTTCTTGATCTTTTGTCGATTTAGGCTCTCAGTCGTTCGGGTGGTTCCACCGACGACATTGAAGTAGCAGAAGGCGGCGTGGCAGGCATCATATATGACCTAATCTGGAGTGGGGATGTCGCTGATGATGATCCTGATTAGGAGGTCAGTGATGAAGGCTGAGATGGTTTCTGGAGAAACGTTATACTGGAGATTTAACCTGGTCGCTTCAGCGTAGGATCTGTCTTGGGTTAGTTCTTGGAGAAGGCTTGGTCCGGGTGCTGGCTGGCTTTGCTAAGGGTTAACTGGAGGTCCACGGTTGAGAGATAACTGGCGTCGGACATGCGGGTGGGTGGCCGTTGGTGCTGCGTCGGTGATGTTCTTGGAGGTCCGGACTACCTTCAGAACCTGCTGGTATTTCGGCCGTCCTCTATAGCTGTCGGCGTGTGGTTCTCTTGGCGTATGTGGCATACGGTCTCTGGCGTTGGCAGTCTGTTACAGGGTGTTGTTTGCCAAAAAAGAACACATTTGGCATGGGAAGTACATGCTGTTCTTGTGTGTCAAACTTCTGGCAATGATAGCACTATGTGGATTTAGCTGCTTCAACGGGGTGATGAACATACGAAATGTTGATTACCATTTTGATCAGTTCGGCTGCGTCTTTGTCGGAGGCAACTGCTAACTTGATTAATTAAGTAGGTCGTAGTAAAAGGGTTAAGGGGGTTTCCTGGCCAGTTCTGGCTGACTTGACGCGTTCAGCCTTAGATGCTTTGATACCTTGAATGGTGAGTTCTTGGAGAGCTTCCTCGGGTTGAATGTCTAGTGGAACGCTTCTGATGACGTAATTCAAGGGCTTGGGTCGGCTGTCATTGGGGACGTGAATGTTTAACTTGGTTCCTTGGAAAGCAGTGCTGTTCCATGGTTTGAGTAGTTTCGCACACTCTCGAGGGTCGTTGGTCTTGATTACGATGCTTCCCTTAGATAATCGGCGTACAGTTGTGAACATGATTTTGGGAAACAATTGTCTGAGCTCTGCAACGATTTCTGGCTCTCAGAAGGTTGGTAGAATGCCTTGGACGATTATTGCTGGAGGAAAGTGAGATTGTTGACTGGATGACGTGTTAGGAGACATTTTTCGACTTCTTGTGGTTGTTGATGTTTGTGAGACGGTGCTTGGTTTAATGGCGACTGTGGCTAAGGAATGGTCTTCGTGACTTTGGCTGGTGAAACATTTAGTGTTGAGCATGGCGAGGAAGACAAAGGCTCTGCTGTGCTTAAAGCTCAACTTGATAGGCTCAGGGTTTGGTCAGAACAATTTTGGAGCATGGCGAGCTGTTCTTCTTTAGTTAATGGCTTGCTTTTTATTGTAGTCCTATTCTCGTGGCTTTGGGTGATGGTTGTTCACGAGAATTTTCCTTGTTGGTGTCTGCTCCCGGGTTGGAAGTGGTTGTTCTCGAAGTTTTCTTGCGTCATCCCATGGTTGGCAAAGAAAAATAAAATGCTCTTGTCTCGCTAGACTCGCTGCTGTTTCGGCCCACTTGCAGTTTCCCGCTGTGGTGTTTATGTTCTTTTCTAATATGATGTAAGCAGCTTCTATAGCTTTCCTTTGTTGGTTTTTCATTTATTTTCTGACAATTTTAGTTTAGTTTGATTTAGGCAGGTGTTCTGCTTCCTCTGCATGTGCTACTGTTGTATTCTTTGCACTGTGTCTTCTGACATCTGCTGACATGGAATGCAGTATCTGCTGTCTATTGTGCGTTTCTGTCTCCTGTACTTTACCATCCCTCCTATTCTTATTCCTGTTTTTGTTACCACCTCTATGATTCTGTGTCTCATTATGCTGTTGATGGGACTTGCATCCGAGCACTATGAGCTTCTTGTTTCTTTCATCCTGTCAGCTTTCGTTGTTCCTTTTCATGATGTTCCTCCTCTTCTCCTTTAGCTTTATAAACATGCCTGTACGGTATTGCAGCTTTCTGAAAGCTTCCATTATGTGTTCGTTTTCTTTATCTAAGGATTCTGGGCTGAATATATGTAACACCCTCAGGAAGTAGCCCAATGTCACCCTGTCTTCACTGTGTTATGTGCTGAGAAGAAGTGTACGAAATGTCCTCTATTGGTTTGTTTTCTATACACGGAGAACTTTGGTCTCTCGTCACTTCTCCAAATCAAAGTGTAAATATATATACAATTCGCAGATAACCAACAATTTTATTTTAATGTACTTTCCCTGAAGAGCATGACAATCATAATGTATTTTATGTAGTTTTCATATCCACCTGTTTGCAATTTTTATTTGATTTCTTTATTTTAGCTACTATATTTAAATAGTTACCATATCTGTGATGCAATTCGTATATATTACCCCCTGCTAATATTGTCTGCTGCTGTCCTCACCACTAACATCGAAGCTGCTTTTTGAAGAATATTTTTAAAATTTTTAATATATAGCTAATTCATCAAAGTATGTAGCTAAGTTTCCACTTATGGAGCCACTGCAAAAATGACATCTAGTTATACACATTTTGTTTGTAAAGTGTTTGGAATTATATTTATCAAGAAATGAGATTCAGATTCATTTACTTATAAAGAGTTAATGATAAATATTTTCGAATAGAAACTCGTACTCAAAAATAACATCTTTGTTTTAGAATGTATCTCTGGTGTATGTTGATGAAAGACGTTAAAGCGTCAATTTAATTGATATCATTATCTTATTTTTTCTATCTTCTGAGAAAATGATTTTGTCTAAAAATTTACTTTCTCTATATTATGTGAGGATTACTGTAAATAATTCTAGAATTAAACTCAGTGTTATAGAAATAAAACATGAAATAAGTTACATGTATACTTAGGAAGTGTTAAAGTATGCCCGACCTGAATCGACAAAAGCGATTTTCTTGGTCACTGATGGCTACTCCAATGGCGGTGATCCTCGTCCAGCAGCAAAAGATCTCAGAGACCAAGGTGTCCAAATTTTCACCTTCGGCATCAAGAATGGCAATGTTCGAGAGCTGCACGACATGGCCTCAGAACCTTCGAAGGAACATTGCTACATCTTGGATAGTTTTGAGGAATTTGAAGCTTTAGCACGAAGAGCCCTCCATGAAGGTAAATGCCAATGTTGAGTTTTGGTTTCAAAGCATATGAATATGATGACTATAACTGTTTTGTTCTATATGAATAAAGATTCTTCATAATATATTATTTTACAATTACCCAAGCCAGCATGGATTATTAATGAAGAATATGTGTGAACATTGTTTCAATTTGTCTGTTATATAACACTATATACGAGGAATTTCACCAAGTATCATGGTCCATTGAGTTGTCTGAGCTACAACAAATATATTCACAGTACTTTCAAGAGTCACTGTAGGGCGCTACATATAGGTTATGGACTTTCTCTCTCAATATGGGCACGCAGTCGAATTGATGGACCATCTGACAACTGACAACTTTGTACTTATTATAGTTTAGATACTACTAATTTCTAATATAGTTTGTGTATCTTCAAATAAATTGGAGGTCTTTCAGTAAATGTTAAATGTCTTTTACATATAAAAAAATCTGAATTTTTAGTGAAGTATTTTTAATAAAGATTTGTCAGTGAATATATCGACTTTTTTTTTTACTAGTCCAAGATTAAAGTGATTTTCATGCTAAAATTATGATACTTTTCTTCATCTCAAAAATCACAAATTTCATTTGCATGATCTCTAAAACTCCTAAATACATTTCAAACGTTTATGTCAGTAAAACTATATATTTTCCCTTCGCTAACTCTATACAAGGTTGGTCAATTTGACCGAACTCGTAACCACCCCACTTAAAATATCGAAATAAATCTAAGTTACCCTTTTTTATTTCTAGAATGACTTCAAATTGTCATATGAAACTGCATATTTTTATCCTTAGTAATTTTATGCTTTTAACAGTATACATCTATTTATACTTAAATTTTATTGTTTCATTGCCCTTTGAACTGTATCTAACTATTAATTCTCAACATTATGAGTTGTAAATCACTAGAGGAACAGTGCTGCTCACATTAAGCTATCAATTATATTACCCACAAGCAACTCCAGGCTGTTCCCATGCTGCCTCGTGAGAAATTTGTATTATATTATCATTATTTATTTTACCCAATATAACCTTAACTAACTTAAGAAGTTTCCAAATTTTACATTATAGTTACTTTTATAATAATAAATAAAAAATACTCATGAAAAACAAGAAATAAAGTACTTATCATCTGGGCTTTCTTTCTTTCTTTTTTTTTTTTGTCTGTCGAGAACACTTAAGCCTACTTTTTTATACTAATGGTAGTAGTACACTAAATATTTGTATTTAATTGAATAATACACCAAAGAACATAAAATAATGTCCCATAATTATTAGAGTTTTTCTGGCTTTCTAACAATGAGACAAGAGCCGTTAAAGATTCATCCAAACTATTCATTTGTTTCCTGTGGGAACAAAGTTTGTACTGAAAGAGAAATTGACTATTCTTTCTACAGAAAACAATGTAATTTAATACGTCATTTGACAGATGAAAACCTTGTTTTTCTACAGGTTATAAATAGTATAGTATTAAACGTAAGATAGAATTATTGGCAAATCCTGAACGAGAGGCTGTGACAGGTGGGTGTGGCAAAAGGGGTCTGATTTTCTATTTGATGGCTCTGTAACCAAACAAGATTGAAGGCTAAGAAAATTATGTCTTGCCTGAGCGATGCCAATATTATAATGAGTAGTTTACTTTACATTTTGTACTTATTTGAGAGATGGTGAATAAAGTAGAGAAGAGGGAATGCCTAGAGAAAAAATATCACAATTCTCACACTTGGGGTAATTCAGGATTTTATTTTACTATTTCCTAATGAAATTAAGAATTTAAAACTTATACAGCATTAAGATATGGATTATTAGTTACGACTTTATTCTATGCTAATTGGTATAACATGAACAGAAAGTAGTTCAATTAAATTGTTAATGTAACTCACTAAAAACATTGTGACATGTACAGTAAAGTATGCCCCTAGAGGAAGGGCTAGTCAGATCCACTGTGCATCCCCTCACATCCCAACAAGACTATGCTTTGTTGAAGGCTTAAGATGTCTTAAGCATAAACTAGAATGTTAACATTGAAAATTTTGTGATGCACTACCTATTATGAGCACGTGGAGATACCCTTGAATGCGTTTTTCGCCATTTAGCGTCAAGCATCATTTGAGAACCATAATATTTCATCATTCAGAGATGCAGAACTGCCTATAAAAGCCACAAATAATACATCAAATGAAAATTGATTTCATTCTTCATCATCACTTATGATTATAAATATAATCATTATCAGTGTATGTTTGTTTGTTTGTTTTTGAATTTCGCGCAAAGCTACACGAGGGCTATCTGCGCTAGCCGTCCCTAATTTAGCAGTGTAAGACTAGAGGGAAGGCAGCTAGTCATCACCACCCACCGTCAACTCTTGG